CACAGGAGCGGGGCAAGTAGCACGGGCCTATGGTGAGCTCGTAGTGGACTTACCTGGCACAGGAGCGGGGCAAGTAGCACGGGCCTATGGTGACCCGTAACTTACCTGCCACAGGAGCGGGGCAAGTAGCACGGGCCTATGGTGAGCTTGTAGTAGACTTACCTGGCACAGGAGCGGGGCAAGTAGCACGGGCCTATGGTGAGCTCGTAACTTACCTGGCACAGGAGCGGGGCAAGTAGCACGGGCCTATGGTGAGCTTGTAGTAGACTTACCTGGCACAGGAGCGGGGCAAGTAGCACGGGCCTATGGTGAGCTCGTAACTTACCTGGCACAGGAGCGGGGCAAGTAGCACGGGCCTATGGTGAGCCCGTAACTTACCTGGCACAGGAGCGGGGCAAGTAGCACGGGCCTATGGTGAGCCCGTAACTTACCTGGCACAGGAGCGGGGCAAGTAGCACGGGCCTATGGTGAGCTTGTAGTAGACTTACCTGGCGTGTGAGACCCTCTTTTAAATCTGCCCAGCTGACGGAGTTGCTGGAGGTCGTGAGAGAAGAGTTGCCGACGATCTCCAGATTATTTATTCTTTATATACATTCCTGTATCATTATTACTTGTATATGTGATCATGAAGTTTATGTTAGTAAATATCACATATATTTTATCTTTGTGTTTAAGTGCGCTTCCATACTGATCTCTATGAGCATACACGAGGGATATTATAGTCCCACCTAGTGAACAGTAAGTTTTCTATAGAAGTTTCTTAGTGGCTGGAGAGTGGTAAAGCAACACAGACATTTATGAAAGTGTACCCTAGGCTGGCGGTTCTGTGTCAACGCTGTAGGAGTAGCAACACTTTGGCAACAAGCGACATAGTGTGTACCTACTGAACTGCATTGCTGGGGTGCAGAAATATTAACCCAGCTGGGGACCTTGTTGTAAACAGAGAAGGCAGGTGGGAAAGGAATTCCTGCAACTTTTATTTGGCAGGAAGAACTCAGGGAAAGTGTTGTAAGGAAAGGTAAGCCTGAGTCCTCCTTCACTCCTCCGTGGGTCTAGGCCGGAATTGCTAATAGCAGTTTCCCCTTGGTTGACTGAAGGGCTTCCAGAGTGAGTCAGTGGCACCTCGGTGATGGGAGTGAAGGCCTGCGGTGGTGGGCATTACGTGGTCCTCTCCTGTGGGACCAAGTGACTCTGGCGAGTAATGTGAGTCGGGGAAACTGAGCACTCTGTCTCCTAAGCCCTAGCAGCCTCCTTGCTAGAAGAGCAAAAGCCCCCCCCCCCATAACTGTGTTTACTAGTTGTGTTTTTACGGGGGTTGAGCTTTGCTCTTTCGGCCCGCCTCTCAACTGTCAATCAACTGTTTACTAACTACTTTTTTTTTCCACACCACACACACACACACACACACACACACCAGGAAGCAGCCCGTGACAGCTGACTAACTCCCAGGTACCTATTTACTGCTAGGTAACAGGGGCATTCAGGGTGAAAGAAACTTTGCCCATTTGTTTCTGCCTCGTGCGGAAATCGAACCCGCGCCACAGAATGACGAATCCTGCGCGCTATCCACCAGGCTACGAGGCCCCTGTATGTCATGCGGGGTGGTGGCCAAAGTGGACGCACATGCGTCTGAAGTATTATGAAAGGGTCAACTGGGTCACTGTGGATGTCTCCAGCAGGCAGGAGGGAAATGGCTATAGTTTCTAGAATCACAACATGAAGTGACAATACATGTCAGCTTCTAACACGGAGTTGCACTTCAGACTATGGCCCGGACCCAGAGCAACAGCAGCTGCTAATTATAATGCAGAAACAGGATGAGTAGATCACACACAATACAAGCATGAGGAAGTTTATGCATGTTCAGCTGGCAACGCTGCTGCGGGTACCTCTCTGGCAGTGTGGTTTCAGCTAAAGTGGCAGGTGCTCTAGAGTGCCATACTGATACCTACTTTATCCGCACACACACACACACACACACACAAACACACACACACACACACACACACACACACACACACACACACACACACACACACACACACACACACACACACACACACACACACACAGGGGGCCGGGGTAGCCTGGTGGATAGCGCGCACGACTCGTAATTCTGTGGCGCGGGTTCGATTCCCGCACGAGGCAGAAACAAATGAGCAAAGTTTCTTTCACCCTAAGTGCCCCTGTTACCTAGCAGTAAATAGGTACCTGGGAGTTAGTCAGCTGTCACGGGCTGCTTCCTGGGGTGTGTGTGTGTGTGTGGTGTGGGAAAAAAAAAAAAGTAGTTAGTAAAACAGTTGATTGACAGTTGAGAGGCGGGCCGAAAGAGCAAAGCTCAACCCCCGCAAAAACACAACTAGTAAACACAACTAGTAAACACACACACACACACACACACACACACACACACACACACACACACACACACACACACACACACACACACACACACACACACACACGGACACACAGGCTTTAATAGGAGTATAAAGCACTGCACTACACTGTATATAAAGCACTGCACTGGTACTAACAATAACACCAGATCACTGAGGCATCAGTGTAGTGGGGTGAGTTATCCGTTGGTGCGACAGTGTCCAAACTGCACAGGGGAAATACAGTTTTAGGGGACTGGGCAATAGGGGCTAAAATTCCCAATCCCCTGGGTACCTGGTTAGGCACCTGACCAGGCGCCAGGGAAGGGGAGGCGACCGCTTCCTCACTGCCCGAGGCGCTGATTCAAAAACAGTCATTGTTTGTCCAGATATCTGGCCAAATCACACTACTCACCACTTTAGAACCTAGGTGATTGCTTCCAAAAGCTGGTTGGTATATATATATATATATATATATATATATATATATATATATATATATATATATATATATATATATATATATATATATATATATATATATATATATATATATATGTCGTACCTAGTAGCCAGAACGCACTACTCAGCTTACTATGCAAGGCCCGATTTGCCTAATAAGCCAAGTTTTCATGAATAATTGTTTTTCGACTACCTAACCTACCTAACCTAACCTAACCTAACTTTTTCAGCTACCTAACCTAACCTAACCTATAAAGATAGGTTAGGTTAGGTTAGGTAGGGTTGGTTAGGTTTGGTCATATATCTACGTTAATTTTAACTCCAATAAAATAAAATTGACCTCATACATAATGAAATGGGTAGCTTTATCATTTCATAAGAAAAAAATTGGAGAAAATATATTAATTCAGGAAAACTTGGCTTATTAGGCAAATCGGGCCTTGCATAGTAGGCTGAGAAGGGCGTTCTGGCTACTAGGTACGACATATATATATATATATATATATATATATATATATATATATATATATATATATATATATATATATATATATATATATATATATATATATATATATATATATATATATATAATCACTGCCAGGTTGTAAACTCCTTAGAGCCGACTGTACCCATTTCGTAGTAAGTCCATGTGGGAGGTAGGCCTAGACGTCAACCTAGCACAGGGTAGCGACGACACTGAAAATTATGAAAATTAATAAAAATATGAAAATTATGAAATTATGAAAAATTAAGAAAATTATGAAAATAAGATAACGTGCTCAAACCTCTACAGAAAACGAACACCAAATTTCATACATATTCAAAATTGCAAGGGGTAGCTGTAGGGGCCGACATTTCTTAAAAGAAGGCAGTGTGGCTGACCCTGGTCAGACTATGCCAGTCACATACCACCCATGTGTCATTTTGAAAAGTGGGTCAAGGTAGCTCCATTCATCTGACCTCCAACCTGGGGCAGACAGACATACAAACATTCTGATAAAGATTTGGCTGGTATGGGAATCCATAATACTCTACCTCCTTTTTATTACTTACTATTAAAACGTTTATATCAATAAAATACAATGTTTGCTTGTTTCTCTGTGTGCAAGGTTGGGAGCCAGGAGCTAGGGCTAACCTTATTACACTTTGGCGGTGACTGGTAGAGCTATAGTGGGAGTGGCCTCGTAGCCTGGTGGATAGCGCGCAGGACTCGTAATTCTGTGGCGCGGGTTCGATTCCCGCACGAGGCAGAAACAAATGGGCAAAGTTTCTTTCACCCTGAATGCCCCTGTTACCTAGCAGTAAATAGGTACCTGGGAGTTAGTCAGCTGTCACGGGCTGCTTCCTGGGGGTGGAGGCCTGGTCGAGGACCGGGCCGCGGGGACACTAAAAGCCCCAAAATCATCTCAAGATAACCTCTAGATAGTGACTGTCAGAGGTGGGTCGGGGTTAGCCCCATTGTCCCTTCTTAAAGAAAGGTCACACCCCTATTTGTTTTCTCTAACAGATTCAATAAATCTAATAATAATTATAACAAATCTAATAAATCTAATAATACTGAATTTATTCAATTTTGTACTAGTATTGCATAACTATTTCTCCGGTTGCTGTAATTGTTATTGTAATTATCATAGTTATTATTATTATTATTTGTAATTTTATTATTTGTATTGTTAATATAATTATTGAGAAAATCCATTGGAGCCGTGATGAGGATTCGAACCAATGCGGTGGGTGTTGCCACAAACACGCTATATAGATGCCTAGACCATGTCATGGTATTTGGATTGCAACCTGGAATTCTAATGAACACACGAGGGTTTCCTGAGGCTTCCCTGAGGCCAGACCAGGATTTTCACACAATTCCCCCCCCCCCCCCGCATGTATGGAGTGGGGGGGGGGAGTGGGGGGCGGGGGCGGATTGCGTATGAAGATCCTTGTCCAGCTTCAGTGGAAGCCTCAGGAAACCCTTGTGTGTTCATTAGAACTCCAGGTTGCAATCATTATACCATGTTGTGGTCTAGTTGTCTAGGGAGTGTGCGTGGGAGCACCCACCACATAAGTTCGAACCCTCATCACGGCTCCTATAGACTTTCTCACTGATGCAGTTACGTTAGTGTGATTACTCTCTGTGCATTATTATTATTACTGACTCAGGAAACCGCGCCATTCATTACGCCGCATCACGAGGCCAGATACCTGTCTTGGAATTACTAGAGAGCCGAGGATGTGACCTCCAGGCTGTTGAAAGACTGGGAGGGAACGCACTTCACAGCGCGGCCAGCGGGGGCCGTCTACGGACGGTGCAGTGGTTGGTGGGGAGGAGTGTGTGTCACAGAGCCCAGAACACCGACGGACGCACCGCAGAGGACATGGCGCAGCTGTACGGCCAGCACCACGTAGCCTGGTGGCTCCACAAGCAGCTCTCCCACCCCGCGCCCAGTGAACACACACAAACGGTGAGAACAGCAGCCGAGGGCCCAGATTCACGAAAGCACTTACGAAAGCACTTACAAACGTGTACATCTTTCCTCAATCTTTGACCGCCTTGGTTACATTTATTAAACAGTTTACAAGCATGAAAACTTCCCATTCAACTGTTGTTATTGTTATAAACAGCCTCCTGGTGCTTCAGAGCTCATTAACTGTTTAATAATTGTAAACAAAGCTGCCAAAGATTGAGATAAGATGTACAGGTTCGTAAGTGCTTGCTTAAGTGTTTTCGTGAATCTGGTCCGAGGTCTTCTTGAAGACTCTTAAACTGCCACTTGGAGCGTTTAACTGACAATTAATTAATGCTCACCTAGCTTATTTAACTTACACTAGATTATGTAGTTTCCACATGAATATTGACCAACTATCTGAATCATTTATTTTTAATTGGACAATTTAGCTGCCGTGCATATGCAATGTAGACGATTTTTGGTGACGAATTTCAAAGAGTACAGTGGTTTTAAGCGTTTATTTAATGTAGTCTTGAACTCAGCAGTCGGATGTTGGAAATGTAAAGAAACGTCGTGATAGTTAAGATGAGGATGCTTGTGCGCGGCCTGGAGCCGCGAGCAGAGAGCTTGAGCGAGGCCGGAGGGGTAGAGAGCTGGAGTGCGGGATGAGAGCAGGTAACTGGAGTATGGCTGGTGTTGCTGTAGCCAGGCTGTAGCGTCTTGTGAGAGTTGGAACAAGACTCGTTGAGTGTTACAGTGTTGCTGGTGAATGTCGATGATGTTAAACAAGATCCACAGTATATATATACCGAGCATTTGTCCCTCAACTACTGCTGAGTTAGCCTCACAACGCCTCACAACGCCTCACAACGCCTCACAACGCTCCGTTCTTGACAACTTACATTCCATGTTTCCTCTGACTTGGCAAGTTGACCATTGTGGGGAATACTGACTTGTGGGATTTATTTATTTAGCAATTTATTAATTTATATTAGTTTTTATAGTAATTTATTTCTTACATTAATTTATTTCCATAGCGGACTGTATGATGCTTAAAGTGGACTGTATGATGCTTAAAGTGGACTGTATGATGCTTAAAGTGGACTGTATGATGCTTAAAGTGGACTGTATGATGCTTAAAGTAGACTGTATGATGCTTAAAGTGGACTGTATGATGCTTAAAGTGGACTGTATGATGCTTAAAGTGGACTGTATGATGCTTAAAGTGGACTGTATGATGCTTAAAGTGGACTGTATGATGCTTAAAGTGGACTGTATGATGCTTAAAGTGGACTGTATGATGCTTAAAGTAGACTGTATGATGCTTAAAGTGGACTGTATGATGCTTAAAGTGGACTGTATGATGCTTAAAGTGGACTGTATGATGCTTAAAGTGGACTGTATGATGCTTAAAGTGGACTGTATGATGCTTAAAGTGGACTGTATGATGCTTAAAGTGGACTGTATGATGCTTAAAGTGGACTGTATGATGCTTAAAGTGGACTGTATGATGCTTAAAGTGGACTGTATGATGCTTAAAGTAGACTGTATGATGCTTAAAGTGGACTGTATGATGCTTAAAGTGGACTGTATGATGCTTAAAGTGGACTGTATGATGCTTAAGGGGGCGTCTGGTTGGCATCTGGGTCCAAAAATGCAAAAATGAAAACTCATTCGATTTCAATCAAACTTTTTTGACAAGTTCTATATGAAAAGTGTTTCATCTGGTCCAAGTTTCAGCATTGTAGCATAAATAGGAAGGGAGAAAAAAAATATTGAAGTAGTTGTGAAAATTATGCAAAAATGGTCAAAATCGATTATCAATCAAAAGTGTCAACTGAAATCATAAGTACAACTCTTTGCTATCACAATAGCATATATTAAACAAATATTATTATTAGTTTAATTGGAAAAAAACTTTAAGGAAAAAAAAAAAAAAAGGATTTTTTTTCTTTTTTTTTTTTAAATATTTTTTTTTTTCATTTTTTTTGGGGCGATTTGCATCAAACTTACACACCTGACTGTACGTAAGCCTATCTGTAAGGATGCCAATTTTGGAGAAAATTGGTTGATGTCAACCCCAGCCACAGATTTTAGAACCTTAGACTTTATTCATTTCTGTTTTTTTTTCAATTGACACAAACGTTTACAAAACTCATTCTTTTCTTATTCAATTTACATGAAACTTACACAGTATATGTGGAGGGCATGTCTCTACATTGGGGGGCTTTCATTTTTCTCTAAGTTCATTTATTGATTTTATAATAGCAATAAACATGCCATATTTGCAAAAAAATTTTTGGGAACTTTGAACATTTGTATTAGGAAAACTAAAGATATTTTGGAAATTCTAAATCCCCAAATCCTTTATTATATGCTAATGTGTCAGAAAAGTGTCACAGAATAATTTTATCTGAAACGTGTGTTCTGAAGTGTGGTCTTGAAAATGTGTAAAAAACGTTCAAGAAAAAAAAAAAAAAAAAAAAACTCCCTTTCTATTTACGCTGCAGTACTGAAACTTGGGACAATTTAAGCACTTTTCATATACAACTAGAAAAATAATATTGGTTGACATTGAACAACTTTCATTATAATAACCAGACGCCCCCTTAAAGTGGACTGTATGATGCTTAAAGTGGACTGTATGATGCTTAAAGTGGACTGTATGATGCTTAAAGTGGACTGTATGATGCTTAAAGTGGACTGTATGATGCTTAAAGTGGACTGTATGATGCTTAAAGTAGACTGTATGATGCTTAAAGTGGACTGTATGATGCTTAAAGTGGACTGTATGATGCTTAAAGTGGACTGTATGATGCTTAAAGTGGACTGTATGATGCTTAAAGTGGACTGTATGATGCTTACAGTGGACTGTATGATGCTTAAAGTGGACTGTATGATGCTTAAAGTGGACTGTATGATGCTTAAAGTGGACTGTATGATGCTTAAAGTGGACTGTATGATGCTTAAAGTGGACTGTATGATGCTTAAAGTGGACTGTATGATGCTTAAAGTGGACTGTATGATGCTTAAAGTGGACTGTATGATGCTTAAAGTGGACTGTATGAATTTATTCCTACACATCGTTTCTAACACATTCTGGGGGGGGGGGTAATTATTTACATATATATAGTCTATCAAGTGAAATTATTGATTGGTAGACATTCACTACCATATTACTAGGTGTTAAATTACAACTGATAATTAGCTAAAATTAAAAACCAATACAGCTTATCTGTATAATTGTTATGGCCTGGTCAACCCGATATGAACACGGATGAACAAGCCAACCGAGACTCCTCGTGGATGAGGCGTCATCACATCTTACGTGTTATACCAGTTAATTGTCATAACTTCTTCCCCTTCCAATTTCACCTGTGAAACGATACACACACACAAATAATCGTAACTTATATCTTGAGGTTATCTTGAGATGATTTCGGGGCTTTAGTGTCCCCGCGGCCCGGTCCTCGACCAGGCCTCCACCCCCAGGAAGCAGCCCGTGACAGCTGACTAACACCCAGGTACCTATTTACTGCTAGGTAACAGGGGCATTCAGGGTGAAAGAAACTTTGCCCATTTGTTTCTGCCTCGTGCGGGAATCGAACCCGCGCCACAGAATTACGAGTCCTGCGCGCTATCCACCAGGCTACGAGGCCCCTATATATGACAGCTATATCAGGGGAAATATTATAGTTTATTTGATAAGATTTAAGTAACATTTAACCTGTTTGGGTTCCTCGCCATGCGTTCTCACCGGTATACCAACCTCTACCTTTTTTTTTTTTTGAGATATATACAAGAGTTGTTACATTCTTGTAGAGCCACTAGTACGCGTAGCGTTTCGGGCAAGTCCTTAATCCTATGGTCCCTGGAATACGATCCCCGCCGCGAAGAATCGTTGTTACAACCAAGTACACATTTTACTGTTGCGTTAAACAGAGGCTACAGTTAAGGAATTGCGCCCAGTAAATCCTCCCCGGCCAGGATACGAACCCATGACATAGCGCTCGCGGAACGCCAGGCGAGTGTCTTACCACTACACCACGGAGACTGTTACCTAACATTACTGGCCTGAAATGAATAAGATTTAACGGGTTCTTGGATAAAGAACACTTCCATTTTTGTAGACGAAGATCGTGCTGACGACGGGACATTTTTGGCCCCGTAAAACTGCGTCGAAAGCGAAGGGAAGGGAATCAGGGGGAGAGCGCCAAGCTGTCGTTGGAGCTGTTCTGCTTCAACGAGACTTTGTTTACATTGAATTTAAATTAATATTGCTGGCTCCTCTCCCATTGATGCATCAGCTGTTCACCAGATGCGTCTTATCAAGAAGTTATCGATTATCGATTAAACGATTATCCTGGCCGGGGAGGATTTACTGGGCGCAATTCCTTAAGTGTAGCCTCTGTTTAACGCAACAGTAAAATGTGTACTTGGATGAAAAAACGATTCTTCGCGGCAGGGGATCGTATTCCAGGGACCATAGGATTAAGGACTTGCCCGAAACGCTACGCGTACTAGTGGCTGTACAAGAATGTAACAACTCTTGTATATATCTCAAAAAAAAAAAAAAAAAAAAAAATGGAATGAGGGCCCCCAAAAAAAAAGTGGAATGAGGGCCCCCAAAAAAAAAGTGGAATGAGGGCCCCCAAAAAAAAGTGGAATGAGGGCCCACATTTAGTCTAGTTTAGTACTGATAATTAAATTTGCTCAAGGGAAATGTTTTTAAGATATTTACAGTCCAGAGACTGATGCTTTAAAAAGAATTTCCAATATTATTAACTAGTGAATTTAATGGTGACATATAACAATAATATCTCCATTTTCTTCTAAGAAAATCTCCACTGCAATCTCATTTTCTATGAATTCATTTATAGGCACAAAACCGCAGCAATATTATCTGCGTATTGTATTTAATGCTAGTAAATGGTGTCGGTTTTTCCGACAACCATCACCTTGCTGGTTACTTGCAGCTGTCCTGAGACATTCCAGGAAACCTTAGAAACAAGTAT